TTGGTCTTAGCTTCAGTTTCATTTCTATCAGCCTCACTAGAACTTTTGTAAATAGATACCGTAGAGAACCACTGGTAACCAGTGTCCTATTACTTAATCCAGCACCATAAACTAGTCACTGATAACTTCTTGTAAGATAAAAGTTCATAATCATTCAGTCCATTCTTAAATGAAGCAAATCACCATCAAATAAAATGGACAATATTCAAATTATATTGCTAGTTGTTCAAAATTTAAAAGTGTAGTGCGTTAAATTCCTCAGTACCTGAATGCCACCATAATCATCACCAAACTTTAAGGTCTTGGGATCTCTTTCATATGAAGTTTCGTGTTCGAAGTACTAGAGTGTTTCAGTCTCAGACGAAGTGATGGACTATTTATTTATTTATGTATTTATTTATTTGAACACATAAATATTGGTACAAGAGAGCGCCAATGTGTATGCGCCACAGAAAACAATGAGAATTTAAAGAGAAGGAGAAAGAAAAAAGGTAGGGAGCGTAAAAAGAGAATAATAAGGAAGAGACTGGTGTAAAGTAGTGTGATAATTATAATAGTAATAATGGGGGAACGGAAAGGTACAATCAGAAGAAATCTTTCAGTTAAGGAAGATACTACCTTTTTACGAACAAAGTAAAAGAAGGTTACAACAGGATCGCCATTTTATTATTCGCCCTCCGCCACGTGATATTGGTTCGTTATAAACATTGTCCTCAAATTATGGCAACTAGATGTCTGATTTTTGAAGTCTTTGTCTTCATTGATTTATGCTGTTCCAAACACTTCGGTTCAGAAAAACCTGGTATAGCCGAGAGTGGGGTAGGCCCGCCCTCCCTCTCGAAATGCTCTCACACGGCCACGCGTATACAGCCTCTGCCAAGGAAGTCCTACTCAATGCCTTCTCGTGGCAGTGGTGTTGTTTACTAAAATGAGAGGATGAGAAGCGAATGTCCGGCGCTTCAACCGGATTCCAAACTAATGGTGCACATGGGCTCTAGTATCCTGAGGAAACAAATGGCGTATGAACCAATCGTTGGTCACCGGCTACCATGGGCTTGCACCTCCTTACGATGCTCTACTACCTTGTGGGTCAGACCTCTAGGTCAAAGGCTCGGTGTGTGCCCCCCTAAGAAAACCACATGCTTCGGTCTGGGCACCCGGGCAGTATCACAGCCCACACACAAATAAAATGAAAATGAAAATATTTACTAAAAATTCTATTCTCGCTTCGATTCACAGTCAAACAACTCACATTATTATTATTATTTACTACGTCATTATTCACTCTCCTTTATTCCCGCTCTGTCTATCCTTACTTTTCGACCTATATTGCAGCTCGCCTATAGTGGAATCTTGGTTCTATCTAAACGTTCTCGAGTCACTGCCTAGTTGAAAATTGTATGCTACCACCAAATACGAATACTGAACCGGTTTTTCTGAAATCACGTGCACCATTTAAACTGGCTGCCTTCAACGTTCGCACACATGCAGGTCGGACAACAGATAGGGCTGGCTATGTCTTTGGAAAGTCTTAATATTGATGTTTGTTGTCTATCCGAGACTCGTATTCAAGACTCTGGCGAAGAACTACAAATTCGCTCTCCGTCTGTCGCTTCAAAAAGCTTGTTTCACGTGCGTTTAACCGGGGACCCTGTGGCATCTTCGTCTGGTCTTGCTGGCGTTGGTGTCGCACTAAGCGCTAGAGCTGAGGCAGCACTAGTCGATTGGATCCCCATTAACAGTCGGTTAGGTGCTGTTAGATTAGAAAGTTCCATCAAAGTGAAAAGAAATCGGCGTGAGAAACGATGTCTTTTCGTCATCGCCGCCTATGCTCCGACGGATTGCAGCCTGGATGCAATCAAGGATGAGTTTTACCGCCAGTTATCTGTCCTTCTCCAGAAAGTGCGTTCGACAGATATTGTAGTACTAGCCGGAGACTTGAATGCTCAGGTCGGGCGTCTAGGCACAGAAGAGAGTCGTTTAGGTGGCCGATGAGGACTCGTTGGTCGCAGGTCAGATAACGGGGACCGTCTACTGCAACTGTGCACAAACCACAACCTGTTTCTGGCTAGCACTAACTTTCGGCACAGTCATCGCCGATGTGCCACCTGGCGTCCTCTCTCTGCATCTCAAGCCTGGACTCAGATTGATCACATCGCGATCAGCTACCGCTGGCGTGGTTGTGTAAAAGACTGCCGCTCCTTTTGGAGTACCTATCTGGACTCTGACCATGCCTTGGTCTGCGCCAATCTTACCTTTTCAGTAAACAACGAAGTGACCGTCATCAACGGATTGATATTAGCAAGCTGGTTGCAACTTCTGTTGCTAGTAAGTATCGAACCGAGCTAGCCTCTAGGCTAGCTACCACTCCACTGAAAAGTATAGATGAGCATTGGTTGCAATTGCATGACGCCATAAAAATGGCGGGAACAGTCAGTTGTGGGTTTGAGAAACGTCCCGCTTATAAGCACTGGGTTTCTTCTGGTTCCTTACAACTCACTGAAGCCCGTCGGTCTACTCCGGGTGACCGTGAGTTTGACCATAAACGAAGGATGTAACGTAGCGAAATTGGGCAAAGCTTGCGCAAGGACCGAGAAACCTGGTGGTCGAAGCGTGCTAATGAGCTGGAAACAGCAGCTGCATCTGGTAACTACCGGAAGCTCTTCCAGCTCATCCGAGCCACTGGCAGCAAGAAGTCTGGTGTGAGTGAAACAATCTGCGAGGATGATGGGATGCTAATCACTTACATCCATCGACGTCTCGTACGATGGGCAGAATTTTTCGAAGGGAAGTTCGACTGGCCTGCTGCTCCGGCAACATCAGTCAGACTGTCCTGCCCTCCATGACCGGTGACGACTGATCCACCAAACGAGGAGGAAGTCCGCAAGGAACTCCAACTCTTGAAGCGTTACAAATCACCTGGCCCAGATGACTTACCTCCGGCTCTTTTTAAAGATGGTGGTGACTTTTTGACTAAGGAATTGACGACGTTGTTTACAAAGGTTTGGGAATTAGAGAGTGTACCAACGTCATGGAATGAGTCGATAGTTGTTCCTATCTGTAAAAAGGGTTCACGTCGTTCCTGTAACAACTATCGTGTGATAAGTCTACTTCCTATTGCGTCCAAGGTTGTTCGAAATCCGAGGAAGATTGACTCATGAGGAGCAGGCTGGGTTTCGTTCTGGTCGAGGATCTATCGATCATATCTTCACCCTCCGCCAAATGTTAGAACACCATCATACTAATCACAGGCCAACAATCGTAGGGTTTCTTGACATCAAGGCTGCATTCGATTCGTTGGATAGGACTGTTCTCTGGGATTGTCTATTGAAGAAGGGTGTGCCTGAGAAGTTTATCCACATCCTAAAAGCCCTATATACAAACACCTCAGGTAGAGTGAGGGCATACAACCACCTCTCTCTATTGTTCCATTCGAGCAGTGGGGTTAGGCAGGGTTGCCCAATCTCACCATTCCTCTTCAACTTTGCCATCAACAACATTCTGGAAACAGCTCTGATGGATGTAAGTATTGATGGTGTGGATCTGTTGCCTGGAGAAAGATTCCTCGACCTTGAGTATGCGAATGATATTGTCTTACTGTGCGATAATGCCCAAGCCATGCAATCCTCACTTAATCAGTTGGCAATCAGTGTCCGTAGATATGGTATGTGCTTTGCACCTTCGAAGCGCAAAGTACTTCTACAAGACTGGCAGGATTGCAATCCTGTACTCACCCTGGATGGTGAGCAGATAGACGTAGTCGAGACGTTCGTGTATCTGGGTAGCTGCATAAGTGCTGGTGGGGATGTCAGTGATGAGATCAATGCACGTATAGTGAAAGCCAGAGCGGCCTCTGCCAATCTGGGCCATCTTTGGCGCCTTCGTGATGTTAGTCTGGCTGTAAAAGGTCGGATCTACGACGCGTCGGTGAGAGCAGTTTTGCTCTATGCTTGTGAAACCTGGCCTCTTCGAGTTGAGGACGTTGGACGACTTTCTGTGTTCGATCATCGCCGTCTCCGAAGGATTGCTGACATTCAGTGGCAACACCATGTCAGTAATGCAGAGGTTCGGCATCGTGTGTTCGGGCACAGACGATAATGCGATTGGTGTCACCATCTTGAAACACCGACTTCGGTGGCTTGGACATGTTCTACGAATGTCGTCCCAGAGACTTCCAAGCGGAGAGGTGGTCAGTGTACGACATAGTGTCGTGGTATGAAAGAAAGCTGCAAAGGACTGGCTTGTGTTGGTCCTTCACGACTCCCTGGTTGGGGTCTGAGAGATGGTGCTACACAGTGGCTAGAGACGTTATCAGATATGGCTCAGAATAGAAGCCAATGGCGATCCTGCTGTAACCTTCTTTTACTTTCTTCATAGAAAGTGGTTGTGTCTCCCTTACCTGAAAGATTTCTTCTGATTGTACCTTTCCGTTCCCTCGTTACTACCACACTACCTTACACCAATCTCTTCGTTATTGTTTTCTTTTGCGTTCCTTAATTTTTTTTCTATCTCTCTTCGAATTTTCATTGTTTTGTGTGGCACATATATATTGGCGCTCTCTTGTACTAATATTCATGTGTTCAAATAGTAATAATAATAATTTTATTATTATTACACTACCTCACACTAATGTGGTCGTTGTTTTTCTTCTTTTTTTCTCCTGCGCTCCTTACCTTTTTTCTCTCTTCCCATTCTCATTGTTTAGTGTGGCGCATATATATTTGGCGACCTCTTGTACCAATATTTATGTGTTCAAATAAATAAATAAAATAAAATACATTTTGCGGTCGCTTTAACAATTAGAGGATTTAATCTTGTTTCCCAATCTTTTTCTATGAGGTTTCATACCACCGTAAATTTAACTTTTTTCCGTCTTGTGTTTTTTTCTTAGATTATTCTATGTTTATAGCTTTCTTTCAGCTGTGGTTTGTAAACTGTGTATATCCATCCATCCAGTGATTGACTACTTATAAAATTTGAATAAATTAAATTTTCTGATCATGCCAATTCGTAAAGAAACTACACGTCATCATCTTAGAGATATAATACACAAGGAAAGGATTCAAAAAGCAAAAGAACGTAGAATCAAACGGAAACAACGAAAGGAAAGTGGTGCACCGGCAGGAATTCCTCAAACTCTTGAATCACTTAGAACAGTTGATGAAACAATCGTTCCTAAAGATGACGAAGAAGTTGTGATTGAACATGAAACAGTATGTTGTATGAAATAAATTCTTAAATTTCTCTAATCTAGGATGAGTTTTCATCTATTTTTAATGGAGAAATTACTCCTAAGATTTTGTTGACTCATTCTGATCGTGTTTGTCCTAGAACAATCGGGTTTTGTAAAGAATTAAGTATGGTAAGTATTGCTTAACATTTTGAAATTTTTTCATTTAAGTTTCAAACTTTATTAGTTGTCAACATTTTAAGCTGAGAAGAGTAAATAAAACTACTTTTATTTTTTCAATTTTGTCGAGCATCATGAAGAGATATGTGCATTCATGCGTAACCCAAATTTAGTGATTTATATTTCTGAAGTTCAGCTTAAATCTGAGTAAATTTATTGATTCTAACTTATAATTTATTTATTCATTATTTATTTTAACACATAGATATCGGTATAAGGAGACACCAAATACAAGTGCGCCACAAAAATCTCATTTGATATGTGTGAGGGCTATGATACTGCTCGGGTGCCCAACCGAAGCAAGTGGTTTTCCTAGAGGGCCACATCCAGAGCCTTCGACCTGAAGGTCTGATCCACAAGGCAGTAAAGCATCGTGAGAAGATGCAGTCCCATGGTAGCCGGTGACCAACGATTGGTTCATACGCCATTTGTTCCTTCAGGATACTGGAGCCCATGTGCACCATTGGTTTCGAATCAGGGTTTTCCAACTCCCCTAGGTCGGCCCTCCATGTCCACCAACCCGGTTAAGGCGCCGGACGTTCGCTTTCCATCCTCTCAATTTCGTAAACAACACCCCCGCCACGAGAAGGTAATGAGTAGGACTTCCCTGACAGAGACTATATACGCGTGGCCATGTGAGAGCATTTCGTGAGGGAGAGCGAACTCTCCCCACTCTCGGCCGTACCAGGGCATTTGAGGGCAATTAACCTACTAAATAAACTACCAATAAACAATTGTCTACGTAAGATATTGCATGTCTGTTGGCCGGATAACAGCAACAGCTATTTGTGGGAAAGAACAAACCAGTTTCTAGCTGAAGAGAAAATTAGAAAAAAACACTTAGCGGATAGGATATATATTACGGAAATCATCAAACTACATCACAAGGCATGTACTAACTTGGAATCCTGAAGGGAAACGGAAAAGAAGAAGGCTAAAGAACACACTGTGCAGTGAGTTGAAAGCAGACATGAAAAGAATAAATAGCAGCTGGAAACAATTGGGAATGATTGTCCAGGACAGAGTTAGATGTAGAATGCTGGTGAGCGGCCTTTCCTCCACTTGAGGTAATAGGCATAAGTAAGATTACCGACACACATTGATTGTAAGCACTAATAGTTACAAAATATAGTTAAAGGCACATTGTCTCTGAGCCACCTGATATATAAAGTTTTTTTCCTAGAAAATCTCTATCATTTTATTTTAACTAACATTATCTCTAATTTCATATATAAATTATTAGGTCATTCCAAATGTTCATCTTGTTGCACGTTGGCATTTACCTCTTAAAAAAATTATCCCTATGGCTATTGAACGTCAATTCACTTGTTTAATAATTGTTAATGAAGATCAGAAAAAAATCAATACTCTAATAGTTAGTCACTTACCGAACGGGCCAACAGCTACATTTCGCCTAACTAATGTATTACTTCGTCGTGAAATGCGTTCAGCTAAAAAAGTCAAATATATTGAATCGAATATAATACCACATTTGATTACTACACGCTTTATGACACGTCTTGGTCTACGTACTGAACGTATTTTAAGTTCATTATTTCCTAATGAAAGTCGTTTACCGCCACAACCACATAGTAGAACAATCGTTTTTCATAATCAAAGAGATTATATCTTTTTTCGACATTATCGTTATATACATCGTGATACAACTGATGTTCAGAATGATGATGATAATGAAAATGAAGGTAAACATAATACTGAACATATCGCAATGAATGAAGTTGGACCGAAATTCACATTGAAATTACGTTCAATTCAATTAGGTACTTTTGACAGTCAATATGGTAATTATGAATGGGTTCGTAAACGAACAGAAATTGGTAGAAGTCGGCGAACATTTATCTTATAGTTGATAAATAATATTTCTGTATTGTAAATATAATTATCTATTAATTCAATAACATGGTTGTTTATTTATTCCATAAAAATAACCTATTTAGTCTGCAAATAAATTATATGAGAAGTTAAAAATGTGTATTAATTAGTGTTCGGTTTCAAATCTAACATTAGGAAACTATCTATTTCTTAATCCCAACTATCACCCTTTATCAATTAGTAATAATAATGACCTATAATTCAGACCAGATATGAAAAATTATTTAACAAATACACTATAGACTCAACTGCCTGGTTACAAATGTTTCGTTTTTTATTGAAATCATGATCCGATTTAAGTTAGACCACTATTGAAAACGTAAAAACACTGGATGACCGTTTACGTCTCGTCTTTACTTTAACAATATTACTAGCACTTTACAAGTAAGTTGTAATAAAACGTGCTTAGTGTATTTATTAAAACTCAAAGAGACTATTCAATGCTGATTTTAGCAGTATTGATTTTAATCTACCAAATTAGAGTAGAAGTTCTGATATATGTACGCAGAGCTCCAAGCATGTAATGAACGAGAACACAGAATGGTGACAATCAAAAATCTTTCAGTACAAAATTACAGAATATCTCGATAAAATATAAGAACCATACATAAAATATTTCGCTTGCAAGTATCCCATCAATTGTCTCAAACTTCATTGCCACAATTATTCTATTCCCGTTCTCTTCGATCTTCTCAACCTTCTGCTGCTAGGTATTCTACTTCTGACGTGTGTTATGTATTACTTATGTCGACGTAAAAAGCATATCGAAATATTGTATTTTATGGTAACGGATTTATTTGATATGTTTTAGTTTATTATTCAGAAATAAGGTCAAGGTATCTTATCACGTGAAAAATATCTGTTAGAGTAAGGCGTCATCATTTTAGTAACTGTAATAGCAACAGTGTCTAGTGAGTTCTAATGAAGAGCGAAATAGCAATCGATCTCAGTGTGATGAAAAATCTAGTTGTCTGTTTCCTAATATCAGACATACATATGTTCCCGCTTCACTCCATTCAAGTAAATAGATGTCACACTCCAAGACTCGATATCGAATTTCGACAAAATCTTAAGGATTTCACAACGTTCAAACCGTAGTTTTAACGTAACCAAGATTTTTAGTTAAAACTAGCTTGAGTGAATGCTTCAGACATCCAGCATTGCCTGAATTATATATTGCTAGCAGTAAAAATGTCTTGCAATATGAAGAACGTGTGAATCTCCAACATGTGGTTTGAAGCTTGGTAGTAATCTGGAGTTGTTAACCCTGAAGTGAATATACAGCTGTTTAGGTTTGATGGAAACAACCTGAAGGACATAAATTGATAGTAAACATAATGGATGGATATGCTGACACGTTATCACTATCTACAATTTAGATAATGATTTTTGGAGAATCTGTATACAAATCTGTTATTCTTACTAATTTATGTACGTGACCAATCCTTGGCTTTATCCTGTACACATTCTTGAATGCAAATCACAACAGATAAACAAATACTTCAACTATACAATAAAGCTACACATAACGAGTACACTCGAACATCACTATCGGTAAAAGTATATTATACTGAAGATCATGAACTTAACAGGAAAGTGTTTAACTGCAAGACAATTAACGATAAATTTACAAACGTTTAAATAATTTCGACGTGATTAATGAACCCTTATATGTTGAATTATCCATTAGAGTAAGGGGAAAAATGTCAGGGTTACGTATTAGGAGTTGAGTTATTGTCATGATTTATGTTTGTCACGACCTGACATCAACTATTATTCAATGATACTTTTCCACCCTTTACTACACACACTTATGAGAGTTAGGGTTGAGATTTTAGTTAGCGTGGGAGGAAACCGTTTAGCAACACGACATAACTATGCATTGAATCAGATTAAGCACTGTGAAATCATCTACCTCTAACCAGGAACATGTTTCCTATAATTTAGTATAAACACAATGTCACACAGTTTGGTTGCATAACAGGTATATTAATTTCAAGCATTTTATAAAACAAATATCGGTCATTTTTATCCAGTTTACATTGATACAAGGTGTCTTTCGTGCAAAGATACACAAGGGGCCATCTTAATTCTGACAATTAGCTCAACACTATCAGTACAATATTCTTTTATTATACTGTCCATTCTATAAAGCTGAACCGAACTAGATAACTCAAGAATAAGTAAATGTCATTATTGTTTGTATTTTCGCTGTATAAATATTAAATACTCGGCGTCTAGTTTTTCTCAAAATATTCGTTCTACTAATGACAAATATTCGTATAAATACTTGGAACATTGTATTCTTATATTGTCGTTTATACGTTTTTGTTTTGGTTCAAAAACTATTGTTGTAGACATTACCTTCTTTAAATTATTGTTCATTAATTAAAGACCTATTAATCAGTTTATTCTTTAACTAATGTTGGTATGGATAAAATCTAATGTTTCATTCATACTGTTGTTTTATTAGGAACCTGTCGTATATATATATAATATATCTGCGTACGAACTTCCTTTTCTGATTAGACACTAGGTTGGAACGAGTTAGATGACCAACCAGTTTTAATCTATTTTGTTGATCGTTGTGTTATTGGTAATTTAGAAAGTTACTGATTTTACAGACGATAAAGAATGAAATAATCAATAGACGTATTTCTTGTTGTTGGAAGATATACCAATTGCTTAAAAATTAAATTATTACTAAACAGTCGTTCAATGTCGTGGATTGGTTGAAGTTAGTCATTAACACGGTTGGATGCCGGCTCAGTGGTCTAGTGATTAAGTGCTCCCGCGCGAAACTGGTAGGTCCCGCGTTCGAATCTCGCAAGGCGAGATCGTGGATGTACACTGCTGAGGAATCCCACAATAGGACAAAACGGCCGTCCAGTCTTTCCAGATTTTTCATGGTGATCTAGCTTCAATTGACTCATAATCTCGACCATTGAAATTACTATAATATTCACAAAAACCCTTCTGTTATAACTAAACAACAAAAGAAAACCAACTCATAATAAAAAATAGATCTTTTATAATCCTGAATCAAGTTTATACGTATATAATTTTTATTATACAAGATAATAAAAAGAAAACGTTTCAGTAATCTTATCATATATAAAAAACGAAAACATCATAGTTACTAAAAGGGACCAGTTACAATCAATAAAATTTGTATGTAAAAATATAAAAAAAATTAGGGAAAAATAACAATAACCAAATGGGACAATGTTGACAAAGATATTTTAATGAACAAAATTAAATTTCACTTTCAGTAAATATCGTAAACGTATTTGATTTACACAATAGACAATATATTCATTAAATTGTAAAGTACATTTATTTGCTTCAATTTCAGGTGCTTGAATTAATTTTCCACATGGTACTATAACACCATCATTTCTAAATGAATTGAAGAAGAATTTATGAAAATAATAAAATTATACAGAATATTTTAAGCAAACATGGATAATGACTAGCAATGGAATAGGACGAAACGCGCGTCCTGGATTCCACTGCTAGCTATTATCCACCTTTGCTTAAAAAACTTGTGACTTAAGGCTATATCGAGGCAATCTGCACAGGATGCACATATGCCAACATGAGACTGATAAATTGCTGTCTTAAATAACAATTAAAACAACACCAAGTGAATTTATACAGAATCTTCTTTAAAGGATAATGAAAACTATCATATGTAAACTTTTATAACTTTTTTCTCTGCTAATTATCATAGGATAAAATTGTCAATCTGAATACTAACTTATATGATTTTGTTCTTGTGCTAAATCAATGAATTACACGTCCAAACAGAATTAGCGGTCTTATGTTAACTTTAAATCTTTATTGGTCCTTTTCGCTTAACCTTGCCCATTGAGTGTAGAATGCAATATCAGCCTCCATTGTATAAATAATATATGTCAGACCGTGAATGTGAGAAGGGGTACTAGAACTGAAGATCTAACGGGAATATAAAGAGAGGAAGTCTGTAGGTCACTGAGATTAACTGTAAGCCATATTACATGGTGTTATTAATCGCTGATTACGGTTATCTCTAAGAATTCAACCATGTGCATTAAAATCAACAAGATGGCTTAGAAAAGAAAGAAATAACTTCACACAGCGACGATAAACCTTAGTTCGGTCGCTGTAACACCATCCAACATTACACAATGACTGGGCGTGCGTAACACATATTCTATTCACTTCAGGCACATCAACTGATACGCTATTTTGGCCTAGAAGCATGTGTCTAACTTCTTTTATTCGACGTTAATATTTAGGTCGCGCATGTTCGTCTTACCTCTGTGGATAAAGCGGTAATCGATACACCTTGAGCAATATCTCTTTGAATGCGACTGAGAAACATTTGATAAATGGTCTGTTAAAACCAACTATAATATACTTATTTGGTATTGGGTTAATAGCTGATAAGCAGTCACAAACAAGCAATAAAGTGATATCTAATGAGTAGGCAATAGTCCACGTTATCAAACAAACTACTAAGATAGCTTTTGGTTTGCAAAGATTATCTAGTTGATACTAGTTTGTGATAAAAAATTTGTCTCCAAGTTTACACCTAAAATGTTCACAGAACACATCTGTACTAAATTAAAATATTTAATGAATCAGAATTATATTCATCTTCGATATGCAGTTGTACTGTTAAAGGTGACCCTACTTAACATACCTCAACCTATTTTAAAAAAGAATATGGTTAGTTTGTGAGAAGTACGTCAATAAATTCATCCGATCGATCATAAACAATGTACAACCTTGCACAAACTCATACAAAGTTTTTAACAGAAGATGGTAAGTTATTAAATGTTGATTGTAGGAAGCTCAATTTTATGATGTTCTTAACTTGTCTTCATATAGTAAATAACTAATAAAATAGTGAACAAGTTCAATTAACTTAAAGTAAGTGGTTATTATTAATCAAGTCAAAAACGTATAGAAATCTGTGTATTCAAAACATAATGTTTGATCTGTTCTCAATGTTGGACAAGTCATAATCTAGCATTGGTGTTTTTCTTCTCTTCTTTGTGTCATTTTAAATAAGTTTTAAGACGGAATAATAATCATATCATTATTAGAAGGGGTTTGAAAGCGAAAGGTGATGGGTTCGAGTCTATGTATGAACCTGAACACTGAAATGCAGGCACATCTAGCTAAAGAGTCCCAAGTGGGACGAAACAAGCGTTCTGGATTTTACTGATAGCTACACTCCGTCTATTCTATACAGCTGAATTAGTTATGTTGCAGTAATAATACGATTTAAATTGTTATATTTCACAGCAGCACAACAAACAAAGATTAAATGAAGTCAAACTCAGTTAAATGCTACCAGATTACCAAGTTTGATGCTTCATTAGCTGAGGAGTTACAACCTTCGACTGACAACGGGACAAAATTTTAATCTTAATTTCAAATTATTACGTAAATGATGAAGACAGAACAGGAACCAGGCCGCACAGCCAGAATTGGAATGAAATCAAATACTTAACTGATTAGAATATAATAGTTGTTAACTTGACTGGTGTTATTAATCCATAATCATAGACCATTAATTTGAGCAATATAGGTAGGTGCAGAATACCTGGTTGGGATTTGAGCGACTGTCATAATCAATAGTTGGTTATCTCTTTTTTTAAACATAATCTGGAGGACATGTTTTAAATTATTCTTTCTGCAATAACCTTTGTGATTATCTGACTAGCTATCTTTCCATTTTTAATTTGTTGATTTTTTAAGCGTCCCAAGGGTATTGGAGGGAAATATATAAATACAGTCGACTCCCTGCAATGTTTAAATTTTTTATGAAATAGTAGGATATACAGGAAGTCCCATCTTTTCTATCGAGTATAAGGGCGTAGCTTTTTAACGTCGGAGTGTTGTTGTGTGCCGTTCTGCAAAGTCCGTCATAGATATTATTCATACTAGAATACGCTCAAATGTTCAATATTAAGTAATTACTGTAGGCCTGTACCGAACCTTAATCTCAAGATACAACAGTGATGCTGCTCAGAATCTCATGTAATATTCCAGGCTCATCCATTTTTATTTTTCCTTATATCTTGAGTTGCAAAAATATTTTTGACGTTTTTATTCTATGATTTTATATTTTCCCAAACCATATGCTCTACGTCTAGCGTTCAATACTACTAATGATACTGTCACTATTTCAACTACTCCAGGTATAAGTTTTCACAATTTCATTTCTCTGAGTTGAAATAATGTGACAATAATTTGAAACAATGCGCAATATTTGCCATATTTTCAAATTGTACTGTACTGGTTAAACTAACGATAAAAGTGTACATATCCAGCAAAACAACCAGAATTGAGCAGAGTAGATTTTCTGTGCTTAAACAATAGTTTAAATTGTATAATAAACTATGCAACAAAAGGAAAAATCAATTAATTAGGTTACCAGTATTAGTCACATGATGGACTAGTACTAAGTTGAAAATACTCACCATATGATAAATGATAGAGTAAAAAAGATATTTTTAATAATTGAATTCATTAGTCGATCTAAGCTAGACCACCATTGAAAACCTGGAATCACTGAACGGCCGTTTTCGTCATAATATGGGACTCTTCAGAAAGACGAAACGACCGTCCAGTGCTTCTAGGTTTCCAATGGTGATCTAGCTTAGATCGACTCATGAATTTAACTACCAATATTACTACAATCTCCACAAACCCCCATTTTGATAGTATATATCTATTTCTATAAGATGATATAGAAATGAAAAATATATATATTCGAAGCAGAAAACAACACAAATAAACATCTTACAAAGTTTTCCATGTTGCAGAATCTGTTCGCCATTTACCAACACCTTTTACACTATGATAATCAGCGAGATTTTCATGAGCATTAGAACATGACTGATATAATTCTCTTTGTTTACCTAATGAGACCTTAAATGATTTCAATAAAAAAGAACAAATGATAAAGATTGCTGGTAAAATAAAATGAGATGGATTTTTGAATAAGGATAGGAAACATTCACAGTAATTAGTCATTTTAAACGAGTAAAATAATAAAGCTTATAAGATTTAATACAGTCTGAACAAAAATACAACTATGTATTAGTACAACTTATCTATCAAGATGTTTTGATTACTCTTAGTACGACCCAGATGCTCTTATTGTTTAGTATTTCTTGGACACTACTTCACTCCACAAGTCCCCAAATCAGAACATGGTTGGACTGGAATGTAATTATATTCCCAATAACAAGGGTAGATGAAAATAAAAATCACAATAAGAAAGACGTTGGTAATATTTATAATTTTTACATAAAATTTCATAGTCTTCTCTAAGTCTCCGCTAGCGCTGATGAGTTAAAAATAGTCATTCAACGTGCCCCAAAACAATCCTATACGGAACATGCTTCAATCCCATCTAAATCGCGCTAACACAAGTATACATACAGTACAAGATTATGTGAGTGATATCGAGGTTAATTTTACGTTACTCAATAAAGATGGTCTATCAGTTGATGAGATTGTGAATTTTCATCGTTTGGTCACAATTCAATAAGGTACTCTGCAACCAACAACATAACGATCACTAACTTCATGGGATGCTGTCAATTTTCTGTTTCGTTGAGTCTAGCTTTTTTCCAACTACTTCTGTTCCAGGCAAGATTATGAGTTTGGGTAGGTAGTGACTGGCTAAATGCAGGATAGATTTCAGCTACCCCCACTTAATGAAAGTTCAATACTATCAAAGAATAATCCGTCTTAACTTAGTAATCTAAACAGAAATAGCTCACTTTCTTGTTTCATTATACGCGGGTAATATTTGGAAGATTTCTATGATCGAATACTAACAACCTAATGTTTTTAACTTTAGAAAATCATGTTTGACAGCCATGAATCAAAAGAGAACAAGCTGTTGCACAGTATACATATCCCTTTATTGACAGCTGTGCATCGCGCAAATATCACAGATGACACAAGCTGTTACAAAGCAACAGACACCGACTCACTTGGGTTCATAAGACTTCTAAAATAAATGAAGTGATCAATGCTAATAACCAATTCATTAAATCACTAGTCTAGGAGTTGATAGAGTTAAAGCAATATTACTCATTGGAAGGGAAAGAAACGCATATCAAATATGCCCACCTTGTTGCTCAAGGTGACTAGAAGTCTAAGATGATAGTTTTAGTTATATGTTGTGGAATTATTTATTTATTTATTTCAACACATAGATCTTGGTACAAAGAGGCACCAAATACATATGCGCCACACAAATCTCATTCGATATGTGTGAGGGCTGTGATACTGCCCGGGTGCCCAGACCGAAGCAATTAATGAAAATTAGAAATTTATTTGTGAACTTTTCCGTTTTAGTTTGCAAATACTCAGCAGTATATATATATATATAATTTACCTCACAAACAATCATGAGTCCAACATTGTTAGCTTGTGTTGGATAAACATAATTGGCTGATTTCGATGAACAATCAGCAAAATATACACCTTTTCCAAACATATAACCAGAAGATGGAGCTTCAGGCGGAGCAATTTGTAAACCTCTGCCTAAAATGCCAACCCAATTAGTTAAACGACTCCCATGCCAAAGAAGCATCCTATAATGATAGTGAAAAACTATAGATAAATGTATGTATAAATTAAATATTGTACAAGCAGATCACTTGATAAATTTAAACACACCAAGAATAACAAGGTTTGCAGAATAAAATGAATTCATCAGCCTATGGTTTATTATCAACTACATACAACCTGAAATTACGATTATTAATATAAACTTAATTTAAATTGATATCATGAATGGATGAATATTAAACAACCATAGGACTCGGACCCAGGACCTTCAGTCTCGCGCGCGAACGTTAAACCTCTAGACCATTGAGCCGGTACCCAAAAGTGTTAATGTACAACTCCAACACCTGGAAGTACTGGACGAACGTTTAATCTTAGTATGGGACGCAATATTGTGGATTGGTTGAATTAAAATATTAACGCCGTTTGATACCAGTTCAGTGGTCTAAATTTAAGCATTCGAGCGCAAAACAGAAGGTCCTGGGTTCAAATCCCATAAGCAGAGTCGTGAACACGCACTGGTGCTTCCAGATTTTAAATGATGGTCTAACATTCATCCATTCATGATATCAATGCAAACTCAACAATCTCCACAACCCTATACTGATAAATATAATTCTTGACAAATTTTCAGCATACCTTAGTATGTGCAGTTTACATGAATGTTCGAAACGTAACTAAAATCACAATAATCAGAAGAATAGGGATACAAAGTGTATGAATAAACATAGTTAAGGTCTATGTGTCTGTATATGCTGAGAAGTAATCATTCAGAGGTTATATAAAGGCAATGAGATTAATAACAACTGATATATATACGCAGGTCTTCTAATTATATACCTCCAAAACATATACAATAAACAGTCACATTTTTGTCAAATATCTGTTAGGTCACTACAAATAAAGGTTTTCATGATGTGTTACAAAACAAAGAGGAATTGGTGTAACTCTTACTCCATAAAACTATACACACAATCCTGTCAAAAAACTATATTATTCAACATTAAATCAGAGAAATGTTGGGTTTTTCTCAAATTACCTATTCCCGTAATCTTTGAATTCTCCTTGTTCTGCAGATTTTTGACATTCGAATATATCTAATATTTCCAATGTATACCAATTATGTGTAACTCCATGTGTTTCGTGCATGTAATCGACTAACAACTTCGACAACAAAAATATTTAACATTTAGACAGACGATGAACAGTCAAAGTAATAGGAATGGCATGTACAAGGAATTAGATTAATAAATTTTTAATTTACACTTCACTGACTACCGACTTACCTACTGATTGAAGTTAATAACTGGCTACACTATAGCTTACTTGAGTAAAAGTTTGAATAGTCAATTTAATGCTTAAAGAACTTGTCTGTCAGCTGCAACGAAACATAGTTAACCTACATCAGCTTGGGTAGCCGAGGTTACAAGTCGCGAAATTTTCTTAATTGATAAAATAAATGTTAGAATATTGTAACGTTGAAGTTGACAACAAGAATGTGAAATTTTACAGTATGGGTTGTGATTTGTTAAGTACTAAGCAACTGTCCGTTTCACTTTTTTAAAAGAATTCTCGGGATTGCGATGCACTGGTGTATTCTACCAAAATATTCAAGGCTAATTCATCATAAGAACTATAGTCATGTGAGCAACTGTGCGAAATACATCAAAAACTAATATTTCCAGATTGCATTTCCCACAGACTGATCTCAGAGGGAGTATTATAGAAAATCAGGCAACCAAAGGACGGTCGTTTCGCCCCATTATGAGAATCCCCATAAACCGTCGACAAAGACCCAATAGAGAACACGCCCAAGACTTTCAGTCCCAGCAGTGAACACCTAATCTTTTAAACTACTGGATCGGGATCCACTGTTACATATTTTCAACTCCTATCAATTTGTGATGTAGCGCAACGACCACACAATGTCATTTTTGCTAAGTATTTCACAATCCCAATAGGTTTGAACTCCGTTAGTCACGACTTTTTGCCAGAACCTCGGGAATACCTTGAATCGCGTCACTAGTGAACTGATTACTATAGTCTAGTCAACTATATCGATGTTTTTTTTACAAGATTGGTGGATACAGAGGGTCGAGTTAAGGGAGTTGAGAAAGTTTGGTTTCAAAACATGAGTCCGACGATCCTAAAGAAATGAATGGCTTGTGAAAGAATTCCTGATCGTTGTCTACCATAGGACAGGATTCAGTGACGTTCTACTGCTCGGAGAGTAGTTCCCTAAGAAAACTGCACTTGTTCCAGCTTTGGAGCTGAAAAATTATCTTAGCCCATATACAAATATTATTTAGTGTGGCGCATACTATTTATGGTGCTCAGTTGCACTATATTTCACACGTACTAAATAAAAGAATCAAATATACATACAAGTGACAACAGTGAAATTAGTGATAAAGGTTATCGTTAAACCTTCAGTGTTTTCTACGACATTCCTATAATTCAACTGGTATTTGTTGACTAAGGTAGTCGTCTTGTGAAGATTTAGCATAAAATCATCCTACACAAGACCTAGTCCATTTTATGTCAGTTTTTGATGGAAATAACCTTTGATTTGTATAAATTATCGGTCACTATTATGTCTGAGCGATTAATCAATACTAGTTGTGGAACGAGATATCGAAAGAGTACGTCAGACTACTTTTCAGTTTCCGATATATTTTACACTAAAATCAACCAAAGGAGTGAGGTGAATTCATTTACTCATTCATTGAAACAATTGAGAAAGCAAAATAGATACATAAAACAGTTCGGTATACATGTATGTGTTATTCTTACCGAATACATTGGATCAGTTGATCGCAGAGGTTTAATGTCACAATTCAGTCGTTTATAATTTACATCAATAATATTTTCAGTAGATGATTGATTATTCTTCAAAATATTTACAGCAAATTCAATATCGGATAAGGCTTCTAGTAGTTCAATTTTTGATTTGACTTCAGGCATTGTACGAATAACCGGTGGTATACGCATACTATAAGAAAAGTAAAAGACCAAAAAAATCATAAAGACAGTCGACATACATTTCTTATTAAAATAACCGTATTAGAAAAGTATTAAAATGTCATAATTATGAAAACACAAGTCAAGTTGAACTAAATTTATTAACTTGATTACAGCGCATATCTGACATAAGTGATCGGTTGCTCTACCTTACAACAAAACACCATAACAGAACAATTAGGGGAGATTGATAAGTTGAAAAGTAGAGAATAGGATACCAAAATCAATTATTAAGGAAAGCTAGACATAAGAATTGCATATTTTAAAATGAACAAATATTATTGAAAAATACGGTTAATGGCTTGGTGAGGTTTATTTACAGGCCTCCTTAGCCCAATAACTTACGCAACGTATCAAGTTTGTACTGCAGCTACGGTGCTGTTTCGGTAAGTAATATCATATTATCTGTGTATATGAGGGGATCCACTAGCCCTTTACGCATTTTGATATTTTATTCGCGCACATGACGAATAATAGAAAAGATAGGTGTTCCCCATGTTTAATACGTCGGTTTTCAATACATATCCGGTACTTTCCACAGCTAACCTATGATAATTAGCAGGGCTTCAAAGTCACAACAATGTCTTTATATGGATGAGTCGAGGATGGATTGCAGATCTGTTTTCCAAATCTCGTAGAATCTTTGCGAATTGGTAGATTTTGGTTGCTCACAACAATAAGGGTTTTCAATATTACTAGTCTCCCGCACCTTGTCAAATCCCTTATAGGACGAAACAAGGGCAATAATACATTCATTTTCTACAACAGTACTACTCTCCGTAGTATTTAACACTTTCACCTTATGTAAATAACGCATTGTACAGTGGATACATGTTATTGTAGATGTAAACAATAAAAAATTGCGATACCCTTTCGTAGGGTAAAAAAATGCGAATTTATCCACTAGAGTAACACTCAGGCGACAAAACGAATAAACAGATATATCATTACTGTATTAGAAAAATAGTTTGAGTTAATTACAAAATAGTAAGCCTAAAATGAGATCTTTTGACCATACAGCATATCACTTTAGTTTGTATTTTTGCTGATTGCAATGGTCATAAACAGTCTCTTACCCAAAATCGTGAGGTATCCGTGTATAGAAATCATTACAGGCCAACAGTAATTGTTCTTCAAGTTTACGTTTATCACCCACATTTGTTTTGACGATACGTTTTACTCTGCCCCTTGGTTTAGTTTCTGTTTCAGTACTACACGCTTGACTTAAAGCTGACAAAGCACCAATCATTTGGGATATGTTATCCAATGCTGTATAACCTGCACGAATTTGTGATTTACTAAGCTTTCCTAGAGGAGCTCGGCGTGAATCATATTTTAGTTCAGTCATAACTTGTTCCATATTACTAAAGTCACATATTAATTTCATAAGTACCTAAAAAAGAATTACACAGTGAACACAGTAAATTGATGGGAAAGTTAGTAAGATAAGCAACGCATATGATAAAGATGAATTTTCTCAGAAAGTTTGATTACAAACGCTTTAGAAAACATCCAAGAATCAAATATACCGATATGATGTTTACCACTGCTCGACTTCTAGAAGACACTACAACCTTGGATATATTACTAACCAAAACACTTTCAGCATATTTTTCACATAAACGGTGTACAGTGGACCACACATTTGTAGCCTTTTCGAGAAACCTCTCAACTGGGACGTCTCTACAAATGAGGGGGATACCAAACGACTAAAACTAAAATTGATTCGACCAGCATATGAATTAATCAAGGAAATTATTAAATCCTGAGGTGGTAATATGGGATCCAAGAGAGTGTAGGTTATATGTCCCTAATTTGGTCAACGGTCATCGTTAAGAAAACCGCCTGCTACGGATTTATGGATTGACGCAGCACACAGACTTTACATGAATTATTACAAAATATGAATAACCCTATAGAACCCAGTACTCAAAATGGTGGTCCTTTCTACTAAAATGTTTATTTCTAGTATCTAATATTTCTGTATGGATTATAGTTTCCTTTTCCTTAATTATAATCTTTATCTGGTTAAGCAGCTCATTTTTAACTGGAAGTCCTATCCTGTTTAGAGTTTTAAGTCGCAAAACAGCTGCTTTTCGAAAACTTTCACGAGGAATAAAACATACTTTTAACTGAGTTCTGGAAGTTAAAAATATTGACATGTAGATAAAAAGCGAGGGGTGACTCGTTCTAAAATCAGAATATTGGAACGATGTGTCAAAAGTTTGGTTGATCTGACCTCTAGCTACTTATTCAAACCATTGCTCACTTATACATTACCACATAAAAATGATATATCAGTTTAAAGTTGAGAATTTGGATCGACTCAGATTAGGAAATATGTAATATGTGCCCAGCCACCGCCAACCAGGAAACCCTATGCTTAGTAGCATAGGTGTAGATTGACGAAAATTTAGCAGCAATTAGACCAAGGAATATCCGACTTATTTTCGGGGGTTTTAGGAGAAATTACAACTTTTAGATACGGTCTGTTGGATAGGTATAACCCATGAAATGTTTCAAAATAGTTAGCAGTAATGCAGGTACCCAGTCCAACTCCAAATATAAAAAACGTTATTCCATACTTTATTTACCTCTTTCAACTGCCTTTCTTCGGATTTCTAGTTTGCCACAACTATCTGCACCATTATTGGCGACTAACAGCCATAATTTTTAGCTACTTTATTATTTCTATCCTTATATGAAGGTAAATTAGACCCACAAACATGTGTCAAGTTCTTCTGTCTGTCTAATCGCGTATCTATTAAACTTGTATTTTTATAATATTTGTTAAATCTTATCACTATAAAGTATTATCATTAACTCTGCATGACGGTCTTTTTATTTTGTGTGACCCATTATCTGAAGTTTTTTTAATGATATGAGTCCGACACTTTGAAATAAGCTTAGTAAATACTAGGTTTTTTCAGAGAACCAATTAGTTGTGGCATAATTACCACTCATGCATCTACTACAAGTGGTGCGAATTTTAACAAACTGATCCTTACTAAACCATTAAGATGTCTTAATTCATCGGTTCGAGAAAATGACTATAACAGTCAATTTAATGCTAAGTGAAGTGTTAATCCAAGTATTCAAAACATAGAGCTTTGATTTACACTTTCGGTCAGTGTTACGAGTTCACATCCTACACTAATAGACTGAAATTGAAATCTCCAATAGCACCTTTAGCTCTCAGGAAGAAGTTTGAACTAAGTTTTTTTTCATGGTACTGAGTACGTTTATGAGTCATAGTTCATATTTTTCATTGTGAGGAAGTAATAGATTTCAGTCAGCTACAACGTAGAACCATGCACTTATGTGCATCGGTCCAGGTTGCCATACCGCATCAGCACAACAAGATGAACACCGGATTCATAACAGTGGTTAGGTAAAAGGTGGTAATATATAAGAGAAAGATTGCATATAGTACAAGAAGAAAGAATTGGTTAGTAGAAAGAAAGATATGAAGCGCTTTTAATCTCTTAGTTTAAGGGAAGAAACCGAGTGTATACACCGACGCCATTGTGATCGATTCTGAGCCATGTCACCAAGAGTCTCCAACCATTGGTTACGATAGTCACGCGGACTCCAACCAAGTAGTCTGCATCTACCAACATGGCTCAGACTAGAAGTTAGTGACTGCAAGCACTGATGCCACGTTTTGGTTTGGCCGCCCCTAACTTTCTTCCAACCATCCCCAACACCGGATAGCATTGCACGTCGTGGTAATCGGTGTTCAGGCATACGTAACACGTGGCCCAACCATCTCAGTCGATGAAGATTCATAACCTCATCAACTGATTTACCATCCTTTCCTAATACCCTGCGTCTAACCTCACTATTACTTACCCGATTATCCCAGCAGACGCCAGCAATATTTCTAAGGCATCTGTGGTCAAATACTAGCAGCTTGCGAGTGTCTTCTACTCTTAATGGCCATGTTTCGCTACCGTAAAGTAAAACAGAACGGACTGCCGCGCAGTATACTCGTCCTTTTATTGATAGACGGATATCTCGCCTTCGCCACAGGTGACGTAAGTTGGCAAAAGCCAAACGAGCTTTTCGAATCCGTGCTGAGATTTCGTCCGATACCAACCCATTAGGGCTGATCAGACTTCCAAGATAAGTGAAGTTGTCAACGCGTTCGACTACTTCACTCCCTATCCTTAGTTCAGGTGTTAACGCAGACCAGTCCTGAAGCAACAACTTGCATTTCGAGGGAGAGAAGCGCATTCCAAACATTCTGGCATTGTTGCTCAGTGCTACCAGAAGACTCTGCATTTCGTCAGCGTCTTCACCAAACAGGACTATGTCATCTGCGTATTCTAAGTCGATAAGTGGACCTCCTGGAAAGAGATCAATACCCGAGAACTCAGTCGACGAGAAAGTTATTTCCATCAGTAGGTCTATGATGAAGTTAAACAAAAATGGGGAAAGTGGACATCCTTGACGGACACCACTTGAGGTTGCAAAAGTAGATGACAGTTCGCCATAAGCTCTCACTCGACTAGTAGTGTTCGAGTAAAGAGCCTTCACAAGGTTTATGTACTTCTGAGGTACGCCTTTCAATGACAGACACTGCCACAGAACCTCGTGGTCTACCGAGTCAAATGCTGCTTTTAAGTCAAGAAAGACCACCATCGTCGGACGCCGATAAGTGTGCCTGTGTTCTAGAACCTGACGAATGGTGAATATGTGGTCGATGCAGCCACGACCAGGTCTGAAACCAGCTTGGTTTTCTCGTGTTTGCAGTTCACGAGTCTTAGTTAGGCGTCTGATAATTATCGAGGCTAGTATTTTAGATATTATATTAGTTAAACTAATCCCTCTGTGGTTGTCACAGGATGATTTTGACCCTTTCTTATATATTGGGACGATAAGTGATTGTGACCAGTCAGATGGAATAACGTCTAACTCCCAGATCTTAGCTAAAATATTAGTCAACCTAATCGCCAAAATTGGACCACCATCTTTAAAGACTTCTGGAACCAGTCCATCTGGTCCAGCTGCCCTTCCTCGTTTCAGATTATCTATAGCCTTTTGAACTTCAGCAAGAGTTGGGGGACCTACTTCAATGTTCCATTCACGCTGTCTGGGAATGGAGGGTAGTTGTAGAGTCGCTGAAGGCCAGCTGAACTGTTCCCTAAAGTGTTCCGCCCATCGTTCTAAACGTCTGGACTGGGAATAGATGAGAGTATCGTCTTTTTCCGATATAATCTCACTTACACTTGACTTATTAATTCCAGTTTCTTTTATTAGTCTGTAAAGTTGTCTTGTGTTCCCTATAGTCGCCACCTTTTCCATCTCTTTTGCTTTCGTTGCCCACCACTGCTCACGGTCGTTTCTTAAACTTTTTCTTAACCTAGATCTGATTTGTTGTCGCTCTTCATCATGTTCGGAACCTGATGGGACAAATTTGCGAGAATCCATCAGTGTGATAGACTTTGAAGAAATCCACTGGTTCTTTGAAACTCTGTGGTTTAAGTTGCTAATAGATGTCACTGCTGCTTCCACAGCTGCTTGTATGTCTTTCCAAGCAACATCTGGGTCAGCCTCGTGTTCAGAACTACTTAAGTGTGAACTCAGTTGTTCTTGGAACCTATTTTTGGTTTTCTCGTTGCTCAATTCAGTTCTAATTGGTCTTTTTAATGTGGCTTTTTTGCGTCCGGTGAGGCGCAAGCAGATGCGTGCCCGTATTAGGGCATGATCGGAGTCCAAGCAGGTACTCCAGAATGAGCGACAATCTTCTACCGACCCTCTCCAACGATGACTGATGGCAATATGGTCTATTTGAGTCCATCGTTGGTTTGGTGTAGGGGGTCGCCATGTTAGACGATGTCTCTCCTTATGCTTAAAATTTGTGTTTGCTAAAAATAAGCGATTGTCTGAGCACAGTTGCAGCAGACGATCACCATTATCTGTTCGCTGTGCCGGAATGCTAAAATATCCACCTAAATGCCTTTCTGTTTGGTTTAAGCTACCTATCTGCGCATTAAAGTCACCCCCTACGAGTACTATGTCTGAGCGTTTAGCTTTCTGAAGAAGTTCAGAAAGCTTCCTGTAAAATTCATCCTTCACTTCATCGGAGCTGCAGTCAGTGGGAGCGTAGGCAGAAACGACAAAAAGGCAACGACGTGTGTCCCTATCCTTCCGAGTTCTTACGGAGCCGTTTAGCCGAACAGCACATAGACGACTGTTGATGGGGATCCACTCTAGCAGTGCTTGTTCCGCCCTCATGCTTAGTGCTATGCCTACACCTGCCAGTCCACGAGAACTGGCCATCGGGTCACCAGATACACGTAGGGTGTATCTCGTTGGCTCTCCGTTTTGCCGAGGTGAGGTCAAGTGAATGACCACACTGGAATCCTGAATGCGTGTTTCGGAGACACAGCATACATCGATGGAAAGAGACTCTAGGGTTTTAGCCAAGGAAGCCTGCTGACCGATTTGACATAAAGTGCGTACGTTGAAAGCTCCAATGTGTAGTTTGGAGCGAGGTTTCAGTAGACCTGGGACAGTGTTTTGAGCACTAGAATCGTTGGCTATGGTGACACTTGAGGAAGAAGCCGAAGGAGGAAGTTTAGGGTTGAAAGTCGATGTAGGATGAATAATAGGAATTGAAGAGGAAGGCTGATTATGAATACAGTGGTCTTGGGTGCTGTTAGAGGTATGAGGGCGGTTATCACTTCCCGGTTGCCCACACCGTGGAAGGGTTCTTCTGGAGGTACCTGAAAAGGAGATTGGATTAGAGGCGGTCTCGGCGACCTGAGAGCGTGACCGCAGTGCCCAAGGGACAACTGCTTGAGACCGGTCGCGCACGGCCTTTCCGTGGAAGGTTTTTGACATGTTAGCTCCGTTCTTCAAAGGGCCTTACCGCCGGAGACGGAAATCCGTGAGGCAAGGTGAGGTGCGCATTTTTAGGGTCGACCTTTTCTAACCCCACCCCTCCTTGTGGGAAGGCAGCATCGCTGTCATGCTGGTTGTCTGAAGGAAACACCTTACTGCTGTCACACCTCTGTACAGTCAGCAGTACGACTTCGCCTTCGGACCTTAGGTTTGTTGTTTTTAGTCTTACCGCTCTTCAACCGACCTGTCTGACATGGTAGGACCTTGAGGAACGGTTGTTCCAGCCAGTATAGCTCGGTTGCTTCATCACGATAGGCAAGCCCGACCACCACGTCAAGGTAGCAACAACGGTCGGGTAACTACTATAGAATAACTTCTAACAAAACATTTACCTGCACGGCAACAGGAAGTCGTGATTTAACTTCTTTAACCTTCTTTTTCTTTGCAGTTGCGTTTTCATCCTTAGAAGTGAATACAAAAATATACTAAAGACCAACTTGTACACCATAATCAATTTCGACCATATCATACTTTCCATTGTGTTTTATGAAATTCTTTCTTTCTCCCCACTGATTTAATGTTTTGTCTAGAAACCTATTTTTAAAATACGTTTACAACTGCAAAATCTTTGTCAATATACTTTTTTTCAAAACAACTCTTAGCAGCTTGTAAATTACCACCAAAATTTTCAAGTTTATTTTGGCCAGATTTCCCAACTCGACCCCAACGAAACCAGACTGAGTAATTGTTTATACTTTCATCTTTTAAAAGCTGTATAATGTAGTATTTATTGTTATTATTTTGAACATTAGTCTAAAATAGTTCACTTTATGGTTAAAAAATTACTTTTTATTACCTGATTTAGCATGGCATCGTAAATATCATCGCCTTCATAATAAACATAAGCTGAATTGACTTTAGCAACACATTCAACGTCGACTGGTGCTTTACCTTTGCAGACTACACGCCTAACTGTATAGTTAATTGATTATCAACACTAATAAACAACCTTTTTTAAAGCTTTCTGATTCGTCTTCCTCATTATCAGCGGGCTGCTGAACTTTAAGGGGACGTTTCATTGGTCTACAATGGAACAAGATGGAATTTACACTGCCACATATTTACAAGTAATCAAAACGTTTTCAACGTAATGACTTATTGGTAACTATACTTTATAAAAACCATTAGAAGTGAAAATCAGCCTGTTAAAAAGATAGTAGGACCAGTTTCATTATCTTTAGTTTCAGTATTAATAAGGTATACAGGATCTAGCCACAAAAAGACCTGTATGTAATAAGAAAGGGTGAATCTCATAAACTCAGTCCAAATAGCTAGAAGAATGGAGAACAGAAACATAGGAAGTAGTCAAACAAATATCGATCTGTTGTGAACAAGCCTGGAAATACATCATAAGCCCGATCTCCCTATTCTGAGGAAAATTTTGTCAATTTTGGGGAAGTGTCACAAAAACGCCAAAATGCCCCCGGGTCTTCGGAAAATTCTTAAGTTTTTTGGGTTTTCCCAATATTTTCCAAGGATCTTATAACACTTTGAGGAAATCTTATTTATTTACTTATTTATATTAACACATATTGGTACGAGGAGGCACCAAATACATATGCGCCACACATCTCATTTGATATGTGTGAGGGCTGTGATACTGCCCGGGTGCCCGAACCGAAGAAGGTGGTTTTCTTAGGCCACACCTGGAGCCTTCAACCTGAAGGTCTGATCCACAAAGCAGTGGAGTAACGTCAGGAGATGCAGTCCCATGGTAGCCGGTGACCAACGATCGGTTCATACGCCGTTTGTTAATCGAAGCAAGTATTTTCCATAATCATCGACAGTTCATCATATTTGTTCTGACACAAAGACGATAATGCGATTGATGTCAACATCTTGAAGCATCGACTTCGGTGGCTTGGACATGTTCTACGAACGTCGTCCCAGAGAATTCCACGTCTTGCATTATTTGCCGACGCTAGGACTGGTTGGAAAAAGCGGAGAGGTGGTCGTTGTATGACATGGTGTCGTGGTATGAAAGAAAGCTGCAAAGGACTGGCTTGTCTCGGTCCTTCACGACTCCCTGGTTGGGGTCTGAGAGATGGTGCGACACAATGGTTAGAGACGTTATCAGATATGGCTCAGAATAGAAGCCAGTGGCGATCCTGCTATAACCTTCTTTTACTTCCTTCATAAAAGCGGTTGTATCTTACTTAACTGAAAGATTTCTTCTGACTGTACCTTTCCATTCCCCCATTATTACTATTATTATTATTCCACTACCCTACACCAATATCTTCGTTATTCTTTTTTTACACTCCTTACCTTTTTTCTTCTCTTTAAATTCTCATTGTCTTGTTTGGTGCACATATATTTGGTGCCCTCTTGTACCAATATTTATGTGTTCAAATAAATAAAACGCCATTTGTTCCTTCAGGATACTGGAGCCCATGTGCACCATTGGTTTCGAATCAGGGTTTTCAAACTTCCCTAGGTCGACCCTCCATGCCCACCAACTCGGTTAAAGCGCCGGATGTTCGCTCTTCACCCTCTCAATTTCGTAAACAACACCCACGCCACGAGAAGACAGTGAGTAGGACTTCCCTGGCAGAGGCTATATACGCGTGGTTATATGGGAGCATTTCGAGAGGGAGAGAGGACTCTCCCCACTCTCGTCCATACCATTTTAGAAATTCAGGACATCCTATTTTTTCTTCCACAAATATCTGAACTCAAAACCCAGCACTATTTTGTATCAGGAACCTAGATGAACACTTATACAGGTAGATCAGAAAACAAATAACGTTGGTAGTAGAGTGCAATACGATTAATATACAAAGTACAGGATGGATGTTCTCCACGACACTAAGGAGTACTCATTTAGAATACCAAACTACATAAAAAGACAAGGAGATAGTACCACAAATATCATGTTTCTAACATTAAGTTCTGATCAAAACACATCGATATTTGTTCAAGCAGATTTGGTTGTTTGATTTTAAATGCACTTGAAATTAAGTACACATACTTATTGATAATACATCTATTGTTTTTTCTTTTGTAGATCTTTTCAAATTACAGTAAGACTTGGCAATTACAATACATAACGATTGATGCTCTAGCATCTGCCAACTACTCATCATGTTACACAATAATACGTTTTTCTTTTCAACAAAGATGTTTTAAAATTGCGAGCAAAATTAGAGAAACCGGCGCGCATTTGGGCGAATAGCAGGCAATCCGGTGTATATTTAGGCAAAAAGTAGACGATTCGGCGTGTATTTAGGCGAAAAATAGACAATTCATCAACATTTGAAAGACAGCGACAAAAGGTGAAGATCCACATTATTTCCCCGGATAAGAGGGAAAGCAGGCCTTTTGGCGCGTTTCCCCATTATTTCCCTTCTATTTTTCAACGTATTTTCCCCCTTTTTGCCTTTATTTCCCTATATTGGTGGTTTGGGTTGATCAATTGACTGAAATGTCTTAAAATAATTGAGTCAATAAAATTTGCATGTAGAGATGTGATAAGATGTTATGTAATTTCCCTCATCTACGTTTAATATAATTTATTTAACCACTAAATGAACGTAGAATACCGGACGCCTCACGAACTCACGGATAGTCACAAAAACATTTAACGTTTAAAAACGCGGCGGCGTTTGAGCTTTGTACACTATATTCACTCACCAATCTTCTAGTTCTCAAGACATTATAGTCATGCCCCTAGTTCATTTTGTTTCTCCATAAAAGATCCATCTGATGAAAGAACTCAGTACAACAACTTACACAAACCGATTATGGCACTGTCAAAGCAGACTTCGCGACCGAACTGACAAGACTCTAACGACGTAAACGAATGGTGTAATCCTTCAACTTTTTCCAATGACCTCTGCCTCACACCTTCTCATACTGGTTCAGGTTTAAAGAAATTTGGATCTTTGGAAGCCAAGGAGACTCAAAGGCTCTTGGGTCAACAGAAATCTGTTGGTTCATATAGTAATCAACCTTTTTAGCTATCTCTTCAATACGTTAGTTTTCTCTGGAGTGCAACACATCCTTGTGTCAGATATATTCATGACACAAGCGCCTTAAGTGCCTGAGACACCTCATTGGACACAATTGTCCAGTGCATATCAGCTAGATAGGCATCTCCAAGTGTAGATCACTGTACCCTGCCCCATAATCCAAATCCAATCAGTATAGACGGGTTCAGATGACGTGATCCTAAATAATAATTAAACAAGAGATTGCGAGCCGTTGGATTTCGGCCGACTCTGCGGTGTCGGTTTTCAGTAACAAATGAAGTGAAACAATGCTCGATCCCCGGACTATTTCTCTACATAAGGAACAATAATGATTTCCTCAAACTCTCCTTTAAATGTATGACTTTCAGGAATCAGCTGGTCCAGCTGATCCTTCCACGTCTCGACCATTCAAGATGGCTAAACTATACTGCCGAAATGTTTCTTTTGTTCGAAATCTCTAAATAAAGAACATTAGTGGTGAATATCATAGACATTCCATACTTTACACGATTCTTAAGAGATTCAAGTTTCAGATTTCTCACCACCGAAAAAAACTCCATGCGTCCCTTCCCATTAGCAGTTAGTATCCAATAGAGCATGCTCATTCCTGTGAATTGTTTCTAGAACATTTCGTAGCCTAACTCCAGAAGTTTTCAAGACTGTCTGAAGTGTCTATCTATCTGGAAAACATCCTGAGCAACGTCCCCTTACCTGAAAAACGATGCCGCTATATTAGATTGTGTTTATATAAAAGCATCGAATAAGGAGCTTTGACTAGACAATAAATTCAGCTGAGCTCGGAAGCTATTAGCCCGAAGTTAGAACAGTGCAGGAGGATCGAAAGCATATGGTCATAATGTATCACAATGCTTTGATAATCTCTATTTGAATAGACCCCAAATAACTTTCAGTAATAAATCAAGCCTAGAACACTCACTCATCCATAAGTGAAACAAAACGTTTTGTTAGATTTAGAGATTCAACTGCTTCATTGTCCGTGTGATTGATAGAATCACAGTGACACCCTCACGAGTTCAATAGTTCAAAAGACGGCAAAAGCCAACAACTTCATAATAGTGGTTTAATAAACATTTAAAGTGATACAGAAAATACCCAAAAGAGGCATGATTAAAAATAACGTAAGTACAAAAAATGGACAAACGCAATAGAAGATGTATTACTGTCAATCAAGTAACAGTATTCTACCCGAGGAAGTGTCTGTCAGTTCAGTTCGCCTCAGAAATGAACTTTCTCGGTTGTAATATAGACGTCCTTTTGAATGATGAAATACTGCCATACCAGAGATAGTAAATAGTCAATGACACGGGAATCTGTCTGCGAAAAATCACAATAAGTTCATTCGCTGATACAACAATATTATCATGATGTCGATTGCAACTTACCAAACAACAACAATAATAGGACTTAGTACCTCTTTTGCTTTCATCGCGAATTCTCTCTGAATCTGTGTTTTAACCATTCGCGAAGTCTTAATATGGTGACACCGGCACCGCTAAACGGAATGTTGGCACGATCAAACATGGTCAATAGTCCTACACATTATCTTTCTCGATATGAACAATCAACTAAGAATTCACCTTTGTAGAAAAACACTGTTAATTAAAGGTGAGTAGAAGTGAATGTCTCTAAAACAAAGAGGGAGCGTATTTCTAAATCGACCACACGAAATAAAAAAGCAATCAGTTCACAAAGTATTATTCAAAGTATAGCAATCCAATCAAATGTGTTAAGTAACACAAAGATAACACTGTTATTAAGAGAGTCAATAACATCAAGGAAATGTTTGGGGCTCAGAATTTGTGCATAATATAGTAATAATTACAGCGATCGGTTTCAAAAATGGGAGCGAATTCAGACAACAGTTAGGAAACAGAATATGATATAGAAATGCATAGGACTATTCACAAGAAAAAGCTGACATGGAGGAGTATACTCCAGGTTCGCTTTGTGTTACACGAACACCAAATGGTTCAAGTTGTTGTGGATGGAATAGAAGAAGCTTTCGCTTAACGGGCTTCCGTGTCTAGTAGCAGTGCATCACCAATACCTCCAGGAAGGAAGCTAGATACATAATCGATAAAAGAGGAAAAGTGAAAAAAGTTGGTAAATCATAATAAGATAATATCCTTAGTCCGTAAGAGTATATCAAGTTTCCTCTTGTATAACTCCCAAAAAGTCGCTTGAACTAGCTCAGTCGGCAGAGAATTCCAGCATTTGACTACTCTCAAGGAATAGGAAACTTGTCTAAAATCTGTCCCGCTGTGTTGATTCTCCAGTTTCTGAGTTATACCCCCAATGTTTGTGTTGGGATTACGCTTAAGTAGGTGTTTAAGGGGGTGTTCAGAATTATTTATGATGCTGTAAGCCATTAGAGGGTCACCTCTAAGACGCCTGTACTCCGATGGGCAAGGGTTCAGTGATTGGAGACGTTCTTCATAAGACTTGAATCTGAGTCCCCGAACTAATTTCGTGGCTCGCCGTCGGATACGTTCTAGAGTGTCTCTACTCTTTGGAGTGAGGGAGGAAATACTTTGTTTACGTAATCCAAATGGGTACGGATAAAATTGTTGGAAATTATATGGAAGGTTCTTCCGTCGAATTAGCCGAAAATGCGCTCCAATGTTGTCAGTGCAAAGTTTGGTCGAAAGGCACTTTTGTCGCAGTTAGCGTTAGACTTCAAATCGTAAGGTACCAGGATTCCTAAATCTTTTTCGACTTGAGATACTACTAAAAAGGAGTTTCTTAAGTTGTAACTGTAGTCTGAAACATGTTTCAGACGAACTAATTTACATTTTAAAGTGTTAAAGGTAAGTCCGTTATCATCTCAGTCAGTCAGTCAGCTACAACGTAGGACCAGGCACATATGTGCATCGGTCCAGGTTGTCATACCGCATCAGCACAACAAGATGAACACCAGATTCATAACAGTGGTTAGGTAAAAGATGGTAATATATAAGAGAAAGATTGCATATAGAGATATAGTAGAAGAATGAATTGGTTCGTAGAAAGAAAGATATGAAGCAATTTTAATCTCTTAGTTTAAGGGAAGACAGGGAGTGTATACACCGACGCCATTGTGATCGATTCTGAGCCATGTCGCCAAGAGTCTCCAACCATTGGTTACGATAGTCACGCGGACCCCAACCAAGTAGTCGGCATCTACCAACATGGCTCAGACTAGAAGTTAGTGACTGCAAGCACTGATGCCACGTTTTGGTTTGGCCACCCCTAACTTTCTTCCAACCATTTCCAATACCGGATAGCATTGCACGTCGTGGTAATCGGTATTCAGGCATACGTAACACGTGGCCCAACCATCTCAATCGATGAAGATTCATAACCTCATCAACTGATTTACCATCCTTTCCTAATACCCTGCGTCTAACCTCACTATTACTTACCCGATTATCCCAGCAGACGCCAGCAATATTTCTAAGGCATCTGTGGTCAAATACTAGCAGCTTGCGAGTGTCTTCTATTCTCAAAGGCCATGTTTCGCTGCCATAAAGTAAAACAGAACGAACTGCCGCGCAGTATACTCGTCCTTTTGTTGATAGACGGATATCTCGCCTTCGCCAAAGGTGACGTAAGTTGGCAAAAGTCAAAAGAGCATTTCGAATCCGTGCTGAGATTTCGTCAAACACCAACCCATTAGGGTTGATCAGACTTCCAAGATAAGTGGAGTTGTCAACGCGTTCGACTACTTCACTCCCTATCCTTAGTTCAGGTGTTGATGCAGACCAGTCCTGAAGCAACAACTTGCATTTCGAGGGAGAGAAGCGCATTCCAAACATTCTGGCATTGTTGCTCAGTGCTACTAGAAGACTCTGCATTTCGTCAGCGTCTTCACCAAACAGGACTATGTCATCTGCGTATTCTAAGTCGATAAGTGGACCTCCTGGAAAGAGATCAATACCCGAGAACTCAGTCGACGAGAAAGTTATTTCCATCAGTAGATCTATGATGAAGTTAAACAAAAATGGGGAAAGTGGACATCCTTGACGGACACCACTTGAGGTTGCAAAAGTAGATGACAGTTCGCCATAAGCTCTCACTCGACTAGTAGTGTTCGAGTAAAGAGCCTTCACAAGGTTTATGTACTTCTGAGGTACGCCTTTCAATGACAGACACTGCCACAGAATCTCGTGGTCTACCGAGTCAAATGCTGCTTTTAAGTCAAGAAAGACCACCATCGTCGGACGCCGATAAGTGTGCCTGTGTTCTAGAACCTGACGAATGGTGAATATGTGGTCGATGCAGCCACGACCAGGTCTGAAACCAGCTTGGTTTTCTCGTGTTTGCAGTTCACGAGTCTTAGTTAGGCGTCCGATAATTATTGAGGCTAGTATTTTAGAATATATATAAGTTAAAGTAATCCCTCTATGGTCGTCACAGGATGATTTTAACTCTCTCTCATGTAATGCGACGATAAGTGATTGTGACCAGTCAGATGGGATAACGTCCAACTCCCAGATCTTAGCTAAAATATTAGTCAACCTAATCGCCAAAATTGGACCACCATCCTTAAAGACCTCTGAAGCCAATCCATCTGGACCAGCTGCCTTTCCATGTTTCAGATTATCTATAGCCTTTTGAACCTCAGCAAGAGTTGGGGGACCTACTTCAATGTTCCATTCACATTATCAGGGAATGGAGGGTAGTTGTAGAGTAGCTGAAGGCCAGCTGAACTGTTCTCTGAAATGTTCCGGCCATCGTTCTAAACGTGTGAACTGGGAGCAGATGAGAGTGTCGTCTTTTTCCGAAATAGTCTGACTTACATTTGACTTGTTAGTTCAAGTTTCTTTTATTAGTCTGTAGAGCTGTCTTGTGTTCCCTATAGTCGCCACCTTTTCCATCTCTTTTGCTTTCGTTGCCCACCACTGCTCACGGTCGTTTCTTAAACTTTTTCTTAACCTAGATCTGATTTGTTGTCGCTCTTCATCATGTTCGGAACCTGATGGGACAAATTTGTGAGAATCCATCAGTGTGATAGACTTTGAAGAAATCCACTGGTTCTTTGAAACTCTGTGGTTTAAGTTGCTAATAGATGTCACTGCTGCTTCCACAGCTGCTTGTATGTCTTTCCAAGCAACATCTGGGTCAGCCTCGTGTTCAGAACTACTTAAGTGTGAACTCAGTTGTTCTTGGAACCTATTTTTGGTTTTCTCGTTGCTCAATTCAGTTCTAATTGGTCTTTTTAATGTGGCTTTTTTGCGTCCGGTGAGGCGCAAGCAGATGCGTGCCCGTATTAGGGCATGATCGGAGTCCAAGCAGGTACTCCAGAATGAGCGACAATCTTCTACCGACCCTCTCCAACGATGACTGATGGCAATATTGTCTATTTGAGTCCATCGTTAGTTTGGTGTAGGGGGTCGCCATGTTAGACGATGTCTCTCCTTATGCTTAAAATTTGCATTTGCTAAAAATAAACGATTGTCTGAGTACAGTTGCAGCAGACGATCACCATTATCTGTTCGTTGTGCCGGGATACTAAAATACGCACCTAAATGCCTTTCTGTTTGGTCTAAACTACCTATCTGGGCATTAAAGCCATTTGCTACGAGTACTATGTCTGAACGTTTAGCTTTCTGAAGAAGTTCAGATAGCTTTCTGTAAAATTCATCTTTCACTTCATCTGAGCTGCAGTCGGTGGGAGCCTAGGCAGGAACGACAAAAAGGCAACGACGCGTGTCCCTATCCTTCCGAGTTCTTACGGAGCCGTTTAACCGAACAGCACATAGACGACTGTTGACGGGGATCCATTCTAACAGTGCTTGTTCCGCCCTCATGCTTAGTGTTATGCCTACACCTGCCAGTCCACGAGAACTGGTCATCGGGTCACCAGATACACGTAGAGTGTATCTCGTTGGCTCTCCGTTTTGCCGAGGTGAGGTCAAGTGAATGACCACGCTGGAATCCTGTAT